AGTCCCCCCTCAGAGGCCTTTGATCCTGCTTCAGTCTGCATGTCTAAGCTTTCCCCTTCAGCCACCTCATGCCTCATGTTCCATCATCTGCTCAAACCCCCTTCGAAACTCGACCAGAGTTTCCACCTGCATCTCCAATCCTCAGATCTTTCCTTCCATCAGTTCTATTAGGCGGCATTTCATGCAAACAAAACTCCTTTCAGGTACCCCCTCCAGAATCATATACCTACCACAGCTGCCACATCCACTCAGTCTCATTGTGTCCTCTACTGCTTTGGTAATGGCCACTGCTATCTCTGTGTTAATCAGCCTTCTCACCTAAATCCTGTTAGTCCAGCAAACACAAACACAAAAACAAACCAAAACACCCCCCTACGGCAAAAACAAACCCTAAACGAGTCCCACAATCCAAACTCCCCTTACAAACTCCCACTCAAACTCCCCTGTTTACAGCTCTGTTTGCTGGCTCCTGCGCCGCTGCTGCGCTGCTGGTGACCTCTTGACTAGTGGCAACTCTCTTGAAGAGCCCTTGGAATTATTTTAAATCATCGGTGGGAGAAGTATCATCTGGAATGATTTCCTCATCCAGTGATGAAGATGACTTATTGGCTGGGGAGGTTCCCAGTTGGTCAGGGTTGACGTCGTCAATGATCTGTCCTCCTTCAGTTTCCAAATCTTCCATTGGAGGAGGGGGACTAGGTGAGTGAGAGGGTGGCTGGGATCTGTGACCAGGTGTTGATGGTGCCCACAAACGATGTCTGAATGGTACCCAGTGCCTATATGGAGAGCACCGTGATGGGTAATGTGGGTTGTAGGACCATTCCAGGTACCACAGAGGATGGAAGGAATACCATGGTTGGTGCCATTCATGAGGTATATTTGGCCTAGCGGGGGTGGAGTGTTGAGAGGAGAATAGACTCCTGTGGTCTTCATCATAATCACTGAAGTGTGAGAGAACAGGTGATCTTCATGAATGGGAGACTTCCCTAAGTGGTGATGGAGAATGAGGAACATCATGTGGTGATACTGATTGTGGTCTAATCATCGACACCGGCACACCATGACTATGCTTATAAATGGAACAGTGGCGATCAGAGAAGTGCTCCAACAGTGTGGATGAATGCAGTGTGAATGAAGAAAAGGCATTGGTACTGTTAGGGAAAATACTGGTTCCAGGCTGGAAGAGAGAGGCAAGGGTCTGGTAGATTTTCCCTGGGCCTTTGCTGGTGCCAGTGTTTTACCTGGTACTTGTGGTGCAGCCGGTGCAAGTGTCTTATCCGGTTCCCAGACATCCAATATGCTCTGTGCCAGTGGCATCGGTGCTGAGGTCTGCAGAGTTCATGGTTTCAGTTCCACGACCCATGTGGCATGGAGGCACCTGGTGTCGAAAGTACCTAGCTTATCTCCCATGCTGACCCTGGGAGGCAAGGCGTGGTCTGGAGAGACTCTCTTCTTTGCAGGCAGCTTAGATAAAGGTGAGCCTGCCCATTTTGTTTGTCTAATGGGGGGGTCTCCTCATCAAAGAGCTGATTGAAGCTCCAGCACCTTATCAAAGAGCAACATTGTGGGTGTGTCTAGACTGCATGGCTCCGTCAACGGCATAAAGGATCTGCTGACAAAGGGTTCTAGGGTCGGCAGATCCCCGTCTAGACTGTCGTGCTGTGCCAACAAACAGCTGATCGGCACAGCGCGGTGACCATTTTGATTTAAATGAAGCAGCTATTATTTAAATCGCTGCTTCATTTTCCTTTGTCATCCTGCCTCATCTACATGGCTCTGTCGACAGAGCCATGTAGTCTAGACACACCCTATGAGTCTAAGCTCTCTGTCTTTGTGGGCTCTGGCCATGAACCTGCTACAGTGCACACATTTCTGTAGGATGTGTGCCTCACCCAAGCAGCAAATACATGACCCATGACCATCTGAGACTGGCATAAGGTCACGACACTTGTTGCACTTCTTGAAGCTGGGAGAGCCAGGCATTTTGCTAGACTCTTTGCTTCATCTTTCTTCTCCTTCTTTGTGTTTTGTAGGCTTTTTTTTTTTGTCTCCCTTGAAAGGGCCGTTATCAGGCCCAGTTTTAACTGCTCTGTCTCTGACACGGTAACTATTTACACAAGAAATAAGTCTTTTTTTAAAATAAACAAGTAGAAATAAGTAACTAGAACTTGAAACTAACTACAAACAAAATTTGTATCTACAGGTACTCCAAAAGGAAGAGAGAATCTGACTCCGTCTGTGACCGAGGGTGATATGAAGAAAATTGAGGGGTGTCAGGCCGCGCATGCGAACTCCAAAGGTGCTTACAGAATGCACCTCCATGCTGCACATGTGTGGGGTGATATGAAGAAAACTGAGGGGTGTCAGGCCGCGCATGCGAACTCCAAAGGTACGAACAGATTGCACCTCCATGCTGCGCATGTGTTGCCCGACCAGATACTGCTTGGAAAAATCTCGGCTCTGTGGTGCCAGGATGACCCAATACCAACAGTGAAGTACCCACAGGTACATCACTTGAAGAAGAAACATTATTAGGGAGAACAAAAGAAACAAAACCAGTTGCTAATTATGCTAATGGTGCAGATAAGGAAAGGACAATGGCTCTCTCCCTGTGAGGCCAAAGGCAGTTGAGAAGGAAGGGGGAGCTCATGCCTATTCAGTTCTAGATTGCCTCAAGGCACATCATGAGGGAGGGTGAGCACATGAGCGGGCTCAACGGGCACTGCTACCAAAAATCTCTGATTACAGGTGTGGGGTGCACATACACCTACAGTGGAGCACCCATAGGGATGCTACTTGAAGAATTGGCACATTTTGAACACCAACGTAAACAAGGGTTAACATCCTTAAAAATACATTAGCTAGTCATGATCAACCCTAGATTCCCATCCACATGGTTGTCCATGATCAGCTAATACGTTGTAAATATGACTTGCCCTGTTTAGCTAACACACAACCTGTCATCATATGGATATGATGGAGATTTACTTCCTATTCCCAACTTCATGTCTTCTCTTTTCTTCTGGGGTGGGGGGGCGGGAGTACTGTAATCTGGGACACATCACCTTCATATTGGTGCACATAACAAAAGGCATTTGGTGGGGCTGAGGCCAAGGGGTTCCGAGTGTGGAGGGGGCTCACACCAAGGGCGGAGGGTTGGGGTGCAGGAGTGTGAGGGCTCTGGCTGGGTGTGCAGGCTGTGTGTAGGGCTGGGGCAGAGTGTGGGATTCAGAGTTGTTCGGGAGTTCATGGGCCAAGATGCGGCAGAGGGGCTCTGGGCCCAGCTACTCCAGCCCCGGCAAAAGGGTTCTGGGGCCTGGCCACTCCGATGCTGGCAGGGGCAGTGTAGGCTGCTTGGGACACACCTTCCAAGGTGCTGCAGATGCAGCAGGGGGACTGCAGAGCTGTAGCACAATAGGAAGGATCCAGGCTGCCCAAGCTGTGGAGGCCACTCCAGCCACAGCCATGCTCCCTGGTGCCAGGCTGGTCCCTGGGACAATTGCCCCCCTTGTCTCCCTCTGTCAGTGGGTTTGCTGGGCTAGGTGTGGGAGGCCCTCCGCCCCACCTGTGTGGGTGCTTTGAGCACCTCTGAAGTGCTAACTCGCATCTGCACAGTCATGTAACATACAGGGTTCTTAGGGCAAGGCCCTTATTGATAAACAGAGACTTGCCTATGTGAGTGTCATTTAATGTGAAGTATGGAAGTCATTGCCTGGTGTCTGGGAGGTATAACCAACTTACAGGGCTGCATGGAAGAAGGGCAAGGATGGAAGTGGAGGAAGGATATAAAGGATCACATAGATGGTCAGAAAACATCCTCAGACCACAGATACCACAGGGCAGAATTGTGGAGGACATCAAAGTGAAGCCTAGCAGATAAAACTTGAAGCAGCCTATGGATTATTTCAAAGAGGATCAAGAAAGGACCTGATTCATCTTACCTTGCTCACAGAGTTTCTTGGTAAGAGAGCCCTCGTCTTGAAAATAAATAATTCGCTTCTGCACAATACTGGCTCTGTTGAAAAGAGAAACACAGCTACAATGAAACGTATCTATTCCACAAAAGGAAGCCGAGAATGAACATTAAAGCAATGGCTGGACAATATAAGGACATTCTTAGAATGTTTTGTAAAAACTGCTATATTACTAAGTATTCCTCTCAAAAAGCGTGTCTAAAGACTCAGGTATCCCTCTGAAAGTTTCTCTATACTCAGGTAATCAACTCATTTCCCTTCCCTATGACAACTATGTTTTAAAAACTATTATAGTGCTGCAAAAAGAGACACAGATGGACAGACACATATTTTATTGCAAGTTGCATTTGCTTATGATTACATGCAGCAGAAACTTGAAATTTTTTGATGCCTGAAGAAAAGGCGATCAGTCATTGTACAGCATCTGCTCTTTAGAAGGGTATGATATTCAACTGCCACAAATTCAGAAAAGAAACAACTCTGAAAACAAGCCACTATTTATAAGAAATCACTTGGTGCTCCAAGGAGATAAATGTTTCAGATAGTCTGCAACAATTTAATGCATCTATAATGTGCCATTATCACACAGTACTTAACACCATGCTAAATTCCTCCAAAGGGAAACTCAACCTTAAAAAAACAACTTTAAAACTGATAAAATGGGAAATATTTCATTAATTCCCATAATCAAAGCAAAATGTGTATTTGCAAGACTCAATTTGTCTTGAGATTTTGATCTGAATGAGATGAAAAGGAACTACTTGCAGAAAGACCGTCTTTCTCTCTTTTATTGTACTGATACTATCTAGTTGTACCATACGTCCCTCTCTCACGGTCTGATCTGAAACACTTTATTTTTAATTTGACCCTTTCAGATGTTAATTTGCATTCACAACTTTTGTTTTGTTTTTTTAAAACTATCAACATTCCACTCATAAGCATACATTTAAACTCTTCCAAACCCATGGACTCCAAGGAGGCAGCACCAGTCCTTTGTCTTTTGTGAGTTTGCTGCATTAACAGAGTTCACATGGTCAAAGGGCAAAGCTTGCTCTGAACCTCACCGCTCCAGTCACTGAGAAACTGTACATGTTTTAGAAGACAGCATAAAAGTTTATATGGTTTTCTTTCATTTATTTTCTTTCTATTCATTTGGTTTGATTGAATTCCCCGTTACATAAATCTTCAAAAATATACAGTAAATCAAGCAGAAGGTGCAAGCATTTTTAAGCGTTATAAGTGATAACTTTTAATTCCAGATAATTTTAAATCCTACTGTTGAACAGTTCTGAATAAGTATAGTGAAATATGGATACAGCCCTCTCTTTAAAAACAAAATGTAAACACTTGCCATCTGACTGTGACATGTTGCTAAAGTACTCTGTACAGGTTATAATTGGATTTCTTTTCTTTTTAGCCCACCTAATTATGTGAATTTAAAAATCGCTCAAGTCCTGTATCCTTTCCAAAGTAAAAATGTACAGGCTTTAGTCAAATCAAAGGAAATTTGAGAAATCATTAGAATCATAGGGTTCAAAGAGATACCAGGAGGTCATCAAATTCAACCTCCTGCCCAAAGCAGGACCAATCCCAAATTAATCATCCCAACCAGGGCTTTTGTCAAGCCAGGACTTAAAAACCTCTACGGATGGAGATTCCACCACCTCCCCAGGTTAAAATGACATTTAACCAAATAAAACTATTGTATTCCCTTTTCTGAGTAACAAACCCATTTTCCTCCCGACTCCTAGATAACCTCCCTAGGTAACCCATTCCAGTGCTTCACCACCTTCCTAGGGAAATCGTTTTTCTTAATATCCAAGCTAGACCTCTCCCACTGCAACTTGAGACCGTTGTTCCTTGTTCTGCCATCTGTCACTACTGAAAACAGCCTCTCTCCATCCTCTTCAGAATCACTATTCTGTAGAGAAGATAAGCCCAAATCCTTCAGCCTCTCTTCATAAGTCATGTGTTACAGTCCCCTAATCATTTTTGTTGCCCTCCACTAGACTTTCTTTGATGCATCCATATCCTTTCTGTAAAAGCAGGCCCAGAACTGGACACAATACTTCAGATTTCATTTGTCCAATCCATACTTCTTTAACTTGCTGGCAAGAATACTGTGGGAGACTATATCAAAAGCTTTGTTCAAGTCAGGGTATCCACTGCATTCTCCATGTCCACAGAGACAGTTACTTTGTCACAGATGGCTATCAGGTTGGTCAGGCATGACTTGCCCTTGGTGAATCCATGTTGACTGTTCCTGATCACTTTTCCCTCTTCCACGTGCTTCCAAATGGATTCCTTGCAGATCCGCTCCATGATTTTTCCGGGGACTGAGGTAAGGCTGACCGGTCTGTAGTTCCCTGGATTGTCCTTCTTCCCTTTTTTAAAGATGGGTGCTACATTTGCCTTTTTCCAATCATCTGGGACCTGCTTTGATCTCCACGAGTTTTCAAAGATAATGGCCAAAGGCTCTGAAATGACATTTGCCAACTCCCTCAGTACCCTCGACTGCATTAAATCTGGGCCCATGGATTTGTGTATATCTAACTTTTCTAAATAGTTCTTAACCTGTTCTTTCTCCACCAAGGCTACCCACCTCCTTCCCATACTGCGTTGCCTAGTGCAGTAGTCTGGGAGCTGACCTTGTCTGTGAAGAAAGAGGCAAAAAAAGCATTGAGTCCTTTAGCTTTTCTCGCATCATCTGTCACTAGGTTACCTCCCTCATCCAGTAAGGGCCCCACACCCTCTCTGGTCACCCTCTTATTACTAACATGCCTGTAGAAACCTTTCTTGTTATCCTTCACATCCCTTGCTAGCTGCAATTCCAATTGCGCTTTTGCCTTCTGATTACACTCCTACACGGGCGAGCAATATATTTATACTCCTCCCTAGTCATCTGTCCAAGTTTCCACTTCTTGTAAGTTTCCTTTTTGTGTTTAAGCTCACTAAGTATTTCACCTTTAAACCACGCTGATTGCTTGCCATATTTGCTTTTCTTACTGTGCATGAGGGTGGTTTATTCCTACACCTTCAATAAGGCTTCTTTAAAATACTACCGCCCACTCATGGACTCCTTTCCCCTGCATGTAAGCATCCCAGGGAATCCTGCCCATCAGGTCTCTGAGGGAGTCAAAGGCTGCTTTTCTGAAGTCCAGGGTGTGTATTTTGCTACTCTCCTTTCTTCCTTTGGTCAGGATCCTGAAATCTACCATCTCATGATCACTGCTTCCCAGGTTGCCACCCACCTCTACTTCCCCTACTAGTTCCTCCCTGTTTGTGAGCAGCAGGTCAAGCTGCGCATGGCCCCTGGTCGGTTCCTTCAGCACTTGTACCAAGAAGTTTTCCCCAACATTCTCCAAAAACTTCCTAGATTGTCTGTTTACTGCTGTATTGGTCTCCCAACAGATGTCAGGATGATTAAAGTCCCCCGTGAGAACCAGAGCCTGTGATTCCTTAGTTTGGGTTTTCCCAGTGGATTACATGGTTAGTGAGGTTGCATGTTCTTTGTTTATCCATAAGAGAACATCACCCACTTCCAAATCTATTATTAGCAGAATGTTGGCATCATTTATTTGGCACTTTAGCAGTTATCAAAATATAAAATGCAAAGAAAACTTCTTGACAAGAATGAATTTTCATGTCAAATAAAGACCATATTAGTGAAAACTGCATGGGCCTAAGTTCATTTTCACCCCAATTTTAAATGCATTATGTTCCCTGGGTTTGTTCTTGATTGACACTTGTCCAAATGAGATGCAAATCAGGCGGCATATCGTTAATGCTGCTGTTACAGTAAGATGTGCTAACATTCTACCCCATCAAATCACAGGAATACAACGTGGTCCCACTAACCGGAGGGGCAAAGAGGGCCACTGCCCTGGGGCTGGGTGATTCAAAGGGGCCCAGTAGCAGTTTCGGTGGGCAGAGCCCCAACTCCTTTAAATTTCTGCTTGAGCGCCCTGCCGGCGCATAGGGACACATGCACTAAACAGTGCCAAGGGCTGGGGGAGTGGGCGCAGTGCGCTTTAGACAGGGCAAAGGGCCCAGCCCCTTCCAGGGGTATGGAACCACCCTTCCCCCCCACACACACATTGCCCAGGGGCCCACGGAGGCAGTCAGCTCTGCTGATGAAATGGAATTGATTATGTTGCTGGTGCCAGAATGCAAGATATGAGACAGGCAGGAAGAGGCAATATACAAAGAAAACACTGAATGTCCCACAAAGCATGCACACAAGACTAGCTGATGTCCATAGACCTATTTTTGCTGGAAGCAAGTGGGTGGTTTTCAGAGAGCCACAGCTAGCCCTAAATGTTAACAGGATTAGCAACATGTAGAAGTACAAAAGGGACTATCCAGGAAACAGCAAAAAGTGTTCTCAGGTTAGCCAAACCCACGGCATATTAAAGGCAGGATCGAATCAGATGGAGTTAGCAGACACTCACCAAATAGGTCACACTTTTTTGAATATCTCATGAGATACTCAAGATGATACAATGCAGAGGAAACTCTCTTCTCTCCTTGAGAGACTCAGTGAAACATTAAATGTCTTTAAGGAACTATTAATCAATCGAATAAAACTAGCCACTTGGGATGATGAGTAAAATTCAGAATAACCATCCTCAAAGATAAGATGCCTGGGCATAATTAGGGACTCATGTGCTTACAAGATAATTGTATTCCTTGTACGCAGTAAAGTAGCAAAGAAAATGTTAATGAACAGGTTTCTCTTTCAAATGTGCACATATGTGTAAATAAAAGTTCTTTCCAGCATTTAAAAAAATACAAACAAAACAACTAACTGTTGGGTGGAAGATTCACTAAGCTGGCAAATGAGGGAAATACTCTGGAATATTACATTTTGGAGAAGTGTATCCAACTGACTTTTTTTCTGTTTGCACACCCTTACAGTTTGAATTTTTGTTCTGCCTCAAAGTTGGCTGATGGGTATCAAATACCAAAGAAACAGTTCACTTCCTTCTCCTCACAGCTTTGTGAGTCATTAGGTTTTCCGCTGCATTTAAAATTATATACA